GCGGTAGAGTGCCACCTTGACATGGTGAAGCCATCAGTTCAAGTCTGATTATCCCTAGATTGATGAAACCAACTAATTGATTGAAGACTGTTTAAGTTTGAATTTGGAAATAAAAAAAAAAAGAGATATGTAAGAGAGTGGAAATCAATCTAATTAAGTCATCAAGCTTTGGCTGGATTTAGGCTCCCCAGAGTTCAGATGCAAGAGGCAAATAACGGGAGTTGAACCCGTAATCAATATACAAAGAATAAAAATTCATCTAGTTTTACTAGAAGAATTTTTGTTTTTTGTATATTGATGAATATAAATTAATTAAATCTAATTTAATTAATTTATTCATATAAATTAGTGAATATTTCATATATTATTTATTCATATAAATTTTATTCATATAAATTAGTGAATATTTCATATATTATAGTTTCTCACATTATTATTTAAATTCAAAAAAACTGGATGAAGACTAGACGCTTGTACAGATGTTTTTTGCGAAGCTAGAAGATAAAAAAGATATGTGTTCGAGTATGTCCTATTAATCTATCTGTAGTTGATTGGAATTTTGAACAAGATATTAGAAAAAAAAAGATACAAAATTATAGCATTGATTTTGGAGTATGYATTTTCTGTGGAAATTGTGTTGAATATTGTCCAACTAATTGTTTATCTATGACTGAAGAGTATGAGCTTTCTGTATATAATCGACATGAACTCAATTATGATCAAATGGCCTTGGGACGGTTACCTTTTAATTCTTTTCTAAAGATGCTTTGTATTTATTCTATTTTTTCTTACAATACTATTGAATTGTGTTATGGTATATTTACATTGAGTGTCTGGAGTTAATATTTAATGCAGTTAATTTGAACTTAGTAATTTTTTGCAAATATTTTGATTCTTCTGCAATTATGTACGAAGAGATCTTTCATTATTTTTACCAAGAAGAGCTTTCAATATATTCAATAATGGCTTTCAAATAATTGGAACCAAGATAGAAAACAAGTCCTTTTTTTACCTAATCGAGTGGATTGTTATGTTATAATAATATCTTTTTATTCTATTAGATAAATAAGGAATTCTTTCTATTATTATATTGTTATGAGATTTTTTTTTTTCTTTAAGTAAAAAAGCAAATTGTTTATTGTAATACTTTTGAAAAAATTGATTTTGAGTTCTGATTTCAAAAAAACTTATCTATGTTTTCTTTTCGAAGTCGAATAGCCTCCCATATAAAAAACATAGCTATAATATTAGACAAAATTTGAGAGAGAGAGAGAGAGAGAGAGAGGAGGGCCGGCCGGGTTGATAACTGCCTCCAAATTTGAACTGCGTCTTCTGTTTCCAAAATTGGCAGTACATAATCCTCTTCGTAGTGTTTTGGACCTCTTGTTTGTCTCTGAGCTTTTACCTGCCCTTCACAGGCATTCTACCTATCACTGTGGGGGCCTTCTTTACGTTTTCATTGCTTCTCTTTTTGCCGCACTTCCCCTGTTTCATTGATCCTTCTACATACACCTCCTTTGCTTGTACGGTCATGAAATGATAGCACGATCCTCTTTGACCATCCTCTGCAGTACCTTATGTAAGGAACATGTAAATGTGAGCAATTACGCCCCTGACCGAGCAGAAAAAGTCCGTTCCCCACGTGCAGCGTGCAACCCTTGTAGCCAACCAGTAGGCTCAGCCCACAAGTTGGTTACAAGAGTCTGGGCCTTCACAGTCTTCCGGAAGGGCTCCGGGCAGAGGATACTGGGACAGGGCGCAGCCTACTCGTGGCCACTCCAGCCTCGCCCTCCAGTACAAAAGAAGGCTGGCCACCCAACCAGACACATTCGGGCGAAGACCAGACATGATTGAGTGGAATTGAAAGCAGAAAGCCCTTCCACCACCGCCAATCATTAATACAACTCCGATGTAGTCTTCCCAATAGCCTCCTGAACGCCCATCCTGCTTCCTAGCTCCTAGTCATCTAGCCTATCAACATGCCAACAAATGTCCACATGTCAATCAACCAATGCCGCTCAAAGACTCTGATCGAACTGCCTGCCTTCATCAACACCAGGTACGTGCCTCGTTCACCACCTCCTTTCTCTAACGATCACCGCACTTCCACCATATGGCTATGGCGTGCGCAGCCTGCCCATCGCTGGCACCCCTTTCCTGCTCACTCCAACCACAGCAGCTTCTCTCCTGGGTTGCTGGACACCGCTGATGTAGCAATCTGGCTTATGGCTGATCTCGTTGCTTGGATCCTTGCAGTTTGAGCATAACAGAAAGATTTACACAACTGGTTAGTGCCCAACAGAAAAATTGCAAGAATTCATTCAAAGCTCCTAAGATACAGACAAAGAAATGAATTTCGAATTTTCTCTACGAGTGTCCATCACAGTGGAGAGACAGGGAAGGGAAATTGCGATAGACACCCATCCTGAAAAATCATTTCTTTCTGTATCGTACAGACTTTGAATTGGATTCTTGCAATAGGTCTCACTAAACTACTCACCTAATGCACAAAAGACGAATATATGACGGTGTGTCTTTCCACGTTGTAACGGAAAATTCATTCTTTTTGCAAGTATGGAGGGCAGTGGAGCAAGGCCCAATTGTTGGCACTAACCATGTTCAAACTGTTGTGATGAACACCCGTTGAGAAAAGTCGTTTCTTTGTCTGTATCTTTCAACAAAAACTTTGAATTCGATTCTTTTTTTTTTTTCCCCCTTTTAAGGCTTTTATTGTATTCTTATGGACCACGGAACAGATAGTACCCTTCATCTTAGCCAAAAGGCCGAGAAAGGTATGATTTCGATTCTTTCAATAACCATTGCTGTAAATCTTTTTGACAAGTTAAACTGCCAGTTGCAATAACCCGCTCTGATATGCCTATGTGGTCGGCTAAGGGGGGCCACCAGCAGGCCACGAAAGGGCCCTAAGGCCCTGCGTCCGACCGTGGTGAACAGAACCCCTGAAATGTGGCTTCAGAGGCCCTGCGCCCTACAGTTGACCAAAGTCAACTGTATCGAGGCTCACGAGTCAAGATCTTCACGGGCCCAGTCTTGGCCACCGATCAGACGCACACACTTCGTTGTACACAGGTATCCAGACTGCATTCGGTCCAAGTGGAAGTCTGCAACTGTACGAGATCCAGGCTGTCGGCTGTGAGTCAATCTGAGCCTCCGCACATGAGAGACCAGTGGCTGGTTAACAGCGTCAAAACTATTTGTTGACCCAGCCCGTGGGAGTCAACATTCAGTCTTGCCTTGCTGCTTGATGCTGGCACGACGCTGGCTGGACGCTGGCAAGATGTTGGTTCTACGCTGGCATTTTGCGTCGACGACGCGATCCTCCTGCTTTGCGTGCTGGCGCCTCTCTGCTTCTGGTGCCAGCTGTCTTATTGGATGCTGATGTGGCATTCGCCATGCTGTCTTTGACATTGCTGACGTGGCGCATGCCACGCTGTCTTCAACGCAGATTGGGAATGCGACAAGGAGGGAGATAGGGATCTGTGGGATTGGTTGAGTGAGAGAGAGGGAACTTTCCTGTTGATGCTGTCGATATTGCGTGCTGCAGAGACGTCTTCATGGGACATCTGCGCCTATGTGGTACTACGTTGTGATCAGATCTTGTCAGGCTTGTTTCTGGGACACTGTTTGCTGACGTGGATGAGGGGAGACACCCGAAGGAGAAGTGGGGAATGAGGGAGTTCTATCTACAGGAGTAGTTCTATCTACATAGATATTGGTGGATACTTTCTCTTCCACCTAAGTCTTTTCTCCCTCTTTCCTACTTCGTCCTATGGTTACAAGAGATCGTATTGCAGATGACATTTCACAATTATTGAAGACATTTGTCAGCACTCAGTTATCTTGTATTTTGACACTTGACGAGTTTCCTCCAGACTGGGTTCATTACACAGCGCTTCTTCCTGCATCCATACATCCTTGAATCACCTCCCTCTTCCCTCTCCTAAACACTAATCCTCTTTCCCTACTCCTTTTTGACACATGCAGAGCTGCACCATTCCATCTTGCCCCATTTGCGTCTATCACAGACTGTCAGTCAACAAATGTTGTAACCCCACTCTCCCACGTATGGCGACCCTACCCTTCCTTGGCTGAAGCTGTGCTGGGAGAGTGGGGTTACGGCATTTGTTGACTGACAGTCTGTGATAGACGCAAATGGGGTAAGATGGACTGGTGCGGCTCCGCTCTTGTCAAAAAGGATTAGGGGAAGAGTACTAGTGATTAGGAGAGGGAATCGAATTCATACCTTAACTCAAACCAAATCCACTGGTGTCGGTCCTTGCCAGACTTGTAGGCCTCACAGAGTTCTTTTGACTCTACCTCCTAGAGTTGTATCTGGAGAATCCAGCGTCCCTGTGTTCAGATTGTCCTCTCTCTCTCTCTCTCACTCTCCCTCTCTCTCTCTGTGTTTGCCTCCCCATATCGTGAGTTTGCATCCATGGTGCCTGTCCTTGGGTTTTGTCGAGTTGAAGTTGACTGTAGGGCTGTGATTCTCCTTGACCTAGGCTGACGATTTGTCATTATAACAGCTGGAAACCAGGGCCAGAGTCCCTAACAAGCTTGAGACTCTGACGATTTGTCATTATAACAGCTGGAAACCAGGGCCAGAGTCCCTAACAAGCTTGAGACTCGCCCACACCTTTCCCCGTTATGGCCAGGAGAGCCTGAGACAGCGGCATTGATTTCTTCCTGTCGGGAAGGACGTACCATTGCTCCACCCCTGGTACCTTCCTGAGACCCTTGCTGATGCTATTCCCCTTACTGTTCACCTTGGAAGCCCCCGACGCCTAAAACCTTGCTGGTAGCTCCGCCCCTGGTTGCAGAACATGTCTCTCTTGAGTTTACGATTTGCTGTTTCCTCAACCACTGATCAAATTTCTGAGAACTGATCGTGAGGTGGCTGTTGGCTGTGCAGATTTGGGCAGGCAATCCAGCGAAATTTCTCAGGAATCTTACCGCTGATGAGTCCCAGTTTATTGCCAAGTCAGCAGAGAGCTATGCACAGCTAGCTTCTATACATGCTGAGGAATGTGCCAAGTCATTTGAAGAGATCGAGGCAGACAAAGAGGCGAGGAAAAAGGCTGCTCAGCAAGATGATGATTATGACTCTCATATTGGGATCATCAGGCCAACCACAAGAACGACTGCACCGTCGACAAGCTGAGTGATTGTCACTGTGGTGGGCTTAGAACGGTAAGCATACACACACACACACACACACACACACAGAGAGAGAGAGAGAGAGAGAGAGGGGGGGAGGGGGCAGGGGGGGGGGGGGGGGGTTCTATGTGCGGGCAAGTTTTTTGTGGAGGGTAGGAGACACTAGGGGGTGAATACCTACTACTTTTAGCAGTGGGATGTATACATGTGTGTTGTTTGCAGAGGACCTCACAGATGTGTGTCATGGGCTCAGTGCACGTTTTTCACTTTTCATGATTAAATCAAGCAGATGTCATTTCTTATCTTAACTGGCTTAATTCACTGAATTAAGTGATGATTGGGCACATGGTGCTTAGGGAACTGTTTTTTTCTTGTTGACTTGATTTTCTAATTTGATTCTGAGACTTGTATGCTATTAGTTTGTTTCCAGGGTTCTTCAGCTGTTTCTGCAGTCCAAAGAGCAGAAGAACACGTCCCCCTTCCTTTTCTAATTGGAAATTGTTTTCATAGACGAGCAACTTGCCCTCTTGATGTTGTGGACAGATTAGTGCGCTCTCAACTTCAATTAAAAGGACTGCGACCACCAATATGGGGTTGCCTAGGGGGCATGATCTTCGAGAGTGGGAGCAGGGTGGTGTCCCTTCTGCTGCTTTGGTGGTTCCTATGGTGCGGTTCTACCTGTTCTTTTCTTTTCCATTTAAATTGCTGCGTTCTGTCAATTTGTGTCACTATTTCTTTTCCTTCCTTTTTTTTGCCCGTCAGCTCCTGCTCAACACAGCCGGAGGTTGTATTTGACACCAACCTTGTATCCCCTTCCGTTTCTCTCTTCACATAAAAAACTCACAGATGTCCAGCAGTCATCTAGAGAGGCAGCGACCTTTACTGCCTGTGCATGTTTGTGTGTGTGTGTGTGTGTGTGTGTGTGTGTGTGTGTGTGTGAGAGAGAGAGAGAGAGAGAGAGAGAGAGAGAGAGAGAGAGAGAGAGAGGCAATTGATGAAATCAGTGTACCCATTTTTTCGATCTCCAAGCCCTGCCCGGCTGGGGAGACGTCTAGCTCTTGAGTCTTATAACATATTTTGTGCTCCTGTCTCTCAACAGAGCTTAGTGCCTGAGGTTTGGTCGCTACTGGATCGCAACGTAGTTTCTCTGGTTTGAAGCACTAGTACCCCGTCCAGCTACTGGGGAGAATGCGGTGGTTAACACAACGCCATGGACGGAGGAGGCCTCTACCGATCAGGAATGCCGGCGCCGTCGGGTAGGAGGCCCTTGCTTATGATTGTGGTGTATTCTGGGGGCATGCAGAATCACACATTTGAAAAGAGAGGCTCGGAGGTACTGGCGGCTTAAATTGCACATTGGGTGAAAGGGCCAGAGTTACTCGCAGCTTAAAGTCACACATTGGAAAAAAGAGGCTCAGAGGTGCTGGCAGTTTAAGCACCAACTAGGTGGGACCTCACTTTGGGAGGGCCAACCCTCTCCGATTGTGAACCAGACACAGCAAGCAGGTGAAAGAAAGCAGGTGAAGCTACTGGATGCAGCTGACCTCTGGTGCTGTTACCATATTTACCTGTGCGCATGTGCAGTGGGGTATGTGCACATTACACTTTGTGTTGTGCACTGTGTAGTGCAGAAAAGCTTGTGAAATGAACCCAGTCAGATGGAAAGCTCAACAATGTCGGAGTACAGAATGTCTCAAAGCAGTTTCAATGTCTCCAAGATCATATATGTAATCAAGAGTCCAATGTCTCGTAACCAGAGAAGAAGCTTTTATGGGAGGAAGATAAGATTTAGAGGGCGGAAGAGAAAGAACTCATCAGCGAAGCAGATAGATCTCCTTCACAGGCCCACTCCTCCCACTCGCCACGTCAGCAGACACTCTCCTCTGACACGCTCTGACAACGAACAAGTCTCAACGTCGTGCACACGGTGCAGACTCCTTCTGAAGACAACAGCAATACGCAATGTCGAGACAATCGGAACAAGTAAGCTCTCCTTTTTTTTTTGACCAATCTCACAGCCCTGATCCTCCTCCTCGCCGATATCTCATCAACGTCGTAGACAGTGTGGCAAGTTCCACGTCAGCATAATCAAGAGACTGGCTGGTGCCACAGACAGAGGAGGGCACCAGCGCCAAGCAGTAGCAGTCTTTGTCATCGTCCAACATCAACCCAGCGTATAGCCAGCAACGAGCCAGCGTAGTGCCAGCGCTTTGCCAGTGTCAAGCAGCATGTGCAAGACTGAATGTCGGTCAGCAGGGGCTGGGTCAACATATAGTGTTAACTCCGGTTGACCATCCTTGGGTCTCTCAGATACGATGGTCAAGATCGACTCTCAGCCAATGGCCCGGATCCCATACAGTTGCAGATTCCCACTTGGATATTCTTAACAGATGTCTGCAAACAGCCATGTGTGTGTGTCTGATCGGTGGCCTGGGCTTGACTTTGACTGGTGAGCCTGAGTTTCCGTGCTGCTAATGACCTTTGGCTTTCCACGGTCAACTGTTGCACGTTGGGCCTCTGAAGCCCAGTTTTAGGCCTTGCTTCGGGTACCCACAGTAGCAGGGCTTTGTTCAGACCATTTTCAGGGCTTGGGTGCAGCAGTTGACACCTGTTCCGGCCCTTAGACCGAAAGACGACCCCAAGGCCCACGACTATTGCATGATTTGAGCTGGATTATTGCACTCGGCAGGGCACTCAAGAAAGTTGAAAAAAAGGAACAGAAAAATAAGGAAAATTCTTGTTTTTGGAACTTTTAATACCTGTGAGCCTTTTTTTGCCGCGGAGGAAAAGGACTGTGGGCCAAGCTTTGCCGGAGCTTCAGCGTGACCTCTTTTTTTTTTTTCTTTTTTTTTGGCTGGTGCCACCAGCCATTCTGGTCTGGTGATGCCTGCCCTCCTGAGAATGTGGGACCTCCAACGAATGCGCTATAGGTTAGCCCGCATTCTTAGGATATTTTTAAGTTTTGCCTGGGAAAGGTGAGAAGTCCTTGGGGATTCGTGCATTCTGATTTTTCTTTCTTCTTTGTCCAGACTCTAAAAGCGTGCGTTGCTCACGTAAAACATAAATCTTGGGTTTATGAAAACGCGCGAAGCGATCACTTCGAAAAACAAGTGGAGTGTTGTTGTTTACGAAGTATTGATCAATTACACAGACCTACTTTTCAATCCATTTGTGGAAACATAGCATGTGTTTCTAATCATGACACCAAGGCTGCGGCGCATCATTACTTTGAAAAAGTGATCTCTTGCGAGCGCCTGCAAAGCACTGAAGATTTGACGCGTAGTGTTGATAGCTTTGTTATGCGGGATTACATTTTTTTTTTATTAGTTCTATCCATCTCCAGGGACCCAAGGACTCGAAAAATCAAAATAAMTAAATTCTTGAGTCATTTCAATAGGCTCAGAAATCACACGTTTCTCTGAATCATCGTATCAGACTTCCACATATCCATTTAAGGGAGCTCAAGTTCGCAAATGATTGGAGAATCATGTATAAATGATATGATTACACGCTGCGCACCAAATTGCAAACAAACCGTGCAAGCAGATAGATTAAAGGTAAATTGTCTGCCTTCCAAGCAGGGGATATGGGTTCGATTCCCGTTATCCGCAATTGCGATTTGCTGCTGCCTCCCATAGGAGTCTGGGCTGTGTCTCAGTCCCAGTGTGGCTGATCATCCGAAAAGACCAGCTAAGCATCATCGGCTTGGTCACCCTTTACCTAACCAACTACCTAATACTACACGGGCTTATCAAACAGCGCTAAAAGCTTCAACTATAAATTGACTATCTTGTAATGAACCCAGATCGAGAGACAGTTGTCAACAATGCAAGTCCAGATAAATGTCCATCGGCTGATGATTACTAATAATAAAAAATCGTGACCAGACAGAATGAGGTGAGATATCATACACAGACGAAGAGAGAGGAGGGAGAAGAGACAAAGGAGGAAGAAAAATGCCCACTCCTGCTTCGGGCTCCCTCCTCCACTGCCACCTCGACAATCATTAGTCTGAACGAGTATCCGAGTATCCTCAATGTGCCACGTGGCACGTCTAATCAGTTCCACATCAGCATCTGAAGCAATGTCGACATGAAGACCATCAGGTACGTATCCTCGAACTTCGAACTCTCCACAGTCCTGATCTCCTCCTGAAGTGACGACGAACAGAACAGCAATGCCGATTACGTAGTCCCAACCATGAAACACGTGGTCAGCAGTCACGTCAGCCAATGATACACGTGGCAGCAGCCACATCAGCGATAGCGCATGGCAGCTGCCACGCCAGCATACCAAGAAGACAGGGGCAAGCCGGCCACCATGCCGGACGGAGTAGCAGCGCCTCGCCAAGTCACAATGCCAGCAGCATTGAGCCAGCGTCGCAGCGTCGAGCCAGCGTTGAAGTCAACGCGTGAAGTCAGCATCAACGCAAGACAGAATGAATGTCAAGGCCAAGCAGTCAACTCTTATGTTGTGTTGACGCGGGGTCTGGGCTCCGGATGCTGTATCCGTCGGCCGTCCAGATCTCAATGCGAATGAGGGCTCAGATCGGCCTGAAACCGAATTCCCTCCGGCCTGGATGCTGTCTGGGTACCTGCGCACAACAAGTGAGTGTATCCATCCCAGGGCCTGGGTGTGGTACCTTTGACTCTACAGTTTGACTTTGACTCTTGAATTTCCTGTGTGCAGTGTTCGGTCACACAGCCACACTCGACAGACTCAGGCCTGGGCATGTCTTGGTCACACTGCCCAGCGCGTGGCCTGGAGCTGAATTCTGGGCCCCAGGCTACTTCTGAACAGGGTTATTACATTCCTGCCGGCCCATTTTCGAGTTCCACCGCAGAAATATTTACGACTTTAACCCTCGTTCATAAGCAGCGACAATATCAGGAGCAGTTTCAAGTAGTTCTCGTTTACTAAACCATTTGTCCTCAGATGGTGCTTGAGTTTTAAAACGTACCTTGAACTGCTTTTGAGGTCGTCCACGTCCTCCCGTAGAAAAGTAGCCATGCTCTATGATCCGGTCAACCTCGTATCTGCCACCCATGTCTGGTGGAATCATAGAGGGTCTGTGAGGAAATTCATTTCCTTCTACGTAAGGCAACAATTTGGACGCATGAAAGACAGGATATGTTTTGAGATGAGGGTGAATATCAATTCGATAAGATGGTCCCTCTGCATCTCCAGTTACCTTGAGAACTTCCCAGGGTCCAAAGTAGACAAGTAACAATTTCTGGGAGACATCTTTTTGTAGTGAAAACTCTTTAGATTTTACCTAAACCAAATCACCTTCTTTGGATATAGATGGTCGACGGTGCTTGTCGGCTTGTTCAATCATTCGTAGTTGAGCTTTCCTTAGATTATCTTTAACTTTCTCAATGTCTTCCTGAAAAACAAGATATTCTCGGGTCCTTGTGGGCAACCTAAGAAACTGGTCCCGGTTCAGTACATCAATGGGACGTTTAGGTTTCCACCCTTTGTGAAGTGCATTTGCGGTTCGTTCAGTAGATGTGTGGACACTATTGTTGTATGCACTTGCAATCTTAGGTAAGTTCTCGTCCCAATCAATCCGATCGGGTCTAATATACATGCGCAAAAGTTGTTGGCACAGACGGTTCATCTGTTCAGTCTGGCCATTCGGGATGTCTCCCTGACGACATGGTCAGCCGTGTGCCATAAGCTTCCATCAGCTTTTGCCATGGCAAATTGGTGAACCTGGCATCTCGATTAGACACAATGGTTTTGGGAAACCCATACTCAGTAATCCATCGCATCTGGAATTTCTGAATGACAAGTTCGGTACGCGCTTCTGCTGGTAAGGGAACAAACATAGCGTATTTAGAGAAACGATCCACAATTACCATTACTTGACTGTTACCATTGCGACTCTTAACGAGACTCGTGAAATTAATTGAGATAGACTCACCTGGTTCGCTTGGTATAGGTAATGGCTTGAGAAGTCCAAGGGGATTCTCGTGCGACGACTTGTTTCTCTGACACACTAAACAAGTACGAACATACTTTAGTACATCTTCTTTAAGTCCCTTCCATTCAAAACGTTCTTTGACTTCAGCATATGTTTTTTATTAACCAAAGTGACCCTTAGAATCGTGACATTCCCCGATCAATACACTCTTTATCTCTTCCTTATGAGGAATACACAATCTCTGTTCGGTTTGGTCAATCAAGAACAACAATCCATCAGTCATTCTATATGTGGGTAGTTAGGATGGATCTCGTTCAAGGATATCCATGATTGGTTTCCAAATAGGATCAGTAGCATATCCTCGACGAATGTTTTTCAGGTCATTCCCAACATCCAAGTAAGAGACAATTGCACCAAAGAAGTCACTCCGTCTGGACAATGCATCTGCAACCATATTAGACTTTCCTTTGATTGTTTTCAATTCAAAATCAAAAGTGTCAATGAATGTAGATCATCGAACCAGCTTATCAAAGAGCCTTGGTTGTGTCTTTATCCACTTCAGGGTAGAGTGGTCTGAGTACACCGTGAAGTGCCTCCCTAACAAGTAGTGCTTCCAAGTGTTTAGTGCATAGACTAAGGCATACAACTCCCTTTCATAGGTGGAGTTGGCAACCTTTTTTGACGGCAGTCGCGCAGACATAAACTCTATGGGCCTATAGCCCTTACCGTCATCTTGCTGTAGAACAACGCCAATCCCATACTGACTTGCATCAGTAGTGACAATGAAAGGCAAAGACGTGTCAACAATCTTAAGGAAGGGGTAGTGAGTCAGGGCATTTTTCAATTTTTGAAAGGAAGACTCACAACCCTTGTCCCATAACTAGGTAGTTTCGTTCTTTAACAATCTTTGCATTGGTGCAACAATCAGTGAGAAGTTTCTGACAAACTTTCTGTAATAACTGGCTAAACCAAGGAAAGATTGCAATTCAGTTATAGACTTAGGTTGTGGCCAATCCCTAATTGCTGAAATATTTCTCTCTTCCGGCCTTAAACCTTCTTCGTTCACTATGTGTCTTAAGTATAGTACTTCAGACTTAGCAAACTCAAACTTCTTGGAATTGATCTTGAAGTTGCCCTCACACAACTTCCCTAGCACCAGACGAAGGTGCTTCTCATGATCCTCTAGTGTTTTACTGTACACTAGAATATCATCGAGATAGACAATAACAAACTTATCCAGCCATTCACGAAATAAGTCATTCATTGACCTTTGGAAAGTAGCAGGGGCATTCGTTAATCCGAAGGGCATTACCACGAACTCGTAGTGGTCATACCTGGTTCGGATATGTTGATCGGAGGGTTCCACCTCAATCTGGTGATACCCAGATTTCAAGTCGATTTTGCTAAAGTACCTGCAACCCTGTAACTGGTCAAGTAAGTCGTCAATGCGAGGAAGCGGTTGAACATTCTTAACAGTGACGATATTCAACCCTCTGTAGTGAATACAGAGACGCAACTCACCTTCCTTTTTGGGCACGAATAAGACAGGGGCACCATAAGGAGAAGAGCTAGGGCGAATCCATCCTTTCTCTGTTAACGCCTGGAGTTGTCTAGTTCCTCAAGTTCCCTAGC